AGAGCGCTATAGGAACCTGGCGAGGAGCGCGCGGTGGGGGGCGGTGGCCCTGAGATGTCGCTGGTGTTGCTGAGTTTGGCTGCGCTGTGCCAGGGTGCCCAGCCCCCGGAGCCGGTAAGCTCCCCTTCGCGCCCCTTTCCCTCATTTCCATCCCTTGAGCCTGGAACTTGAAGTTGGCCGACCGGCCAGCTCGAGCCTTGTTAAGGTGTTTGCGGAGGGCCTTCTGGAGAGGGCAAGTCTGCACCCTGGGGTACCCAAACTTGTCCTGGTCAGGCACCGGGCTTCCTGCTGCTTGGCCAGACAGACGGAGGTTCAAATGCCACCCTTTACTCTTAATCCAGGCATTTATGCTCATTGACCCTTCGTGTCCTCATCTATAAAACAAAGGGTAACACCCAACTCACCAGAATCTAGTGAGGAGCAGGAGGGCCTGCCGCAAGGAGCCCAGCACACAGTAGGTGCTCAGCACTGTTACTGCTTGGGCTCTTGAGGCCTACCTACCTTTGGGGGTGCAGGATCTGCTTCTCTATTACCACTCACTTTTGTCATGTTGATTCAGGCTGTGCTGAGATGCCTGGTCCCCGGAGCTGGTAAGGGCTGTCCTCTCCTGCATGAGTATCCTTTCTTCCCCAGTGCCTTGGACAGCTGAGGGCATGTTCTGCATCACTAAAGAGGAAAAAGCTCATTCGCAAAGTGTGTTTGAAATTATACCCCTGCCTTTTCAGCACAGCATGTCACATAAAAGCACGTAGTTATGGAAAGACAAACCCACTCGGGCACCCTGATGTCTTCAGCTGCTGTCCTTGCCGCACCTGTCTCGGTTAGGCACCCCTTGGCCTTTTCCACTACAGGAAGAACGCATTGCCTCTGCGGTGGTTGTTATTAGGCCAACAGTTTGCTCTGTAACATACAGATCTATTGCTTTGCTTCTTCCTACAACTTGTCCCACCAGCCTTTTGGTGACTGATTTGTTTTTAAATCTGTCTGACATTATCCCTTGGAGTTCAGCCTCAAAGGACAAAGGCGAGGGAATGATAATTGCACCTAAACCCAGATTACCCAAACCATCAAAAGTCGTGCCTTCCGTCTGACACGGTGTTTGGAAATGTTGAGGTGCGAGAAATCAGCTCCTAGATCTGGTGGGCCTATGGCATTGTGTCTTGTCACTAGTACTTGTTGCTGCCTAAAAGGTTCAGTATTTTATTCCAAAACCAAACTACTAATTGTCTTTTCTTGTTAAAAAAATAAAAATAAAAAATGCCCTAGCCGGTTTTGCTCAGTGGATAGAACGTTGGCCTGCAGACTGAAGGGTCCCAGGTTTGATTCTGGTCAAGGGCACATGTCCAGGTTGTGGGCTCGTTCCCCAGGGGGTAGGAGGGACATGCAGGAGGCAGCTGATCAATGATTCTCTCTCATCATTGATGTTTCTTTCTCTCTCTCCCTCTCCTTCCTCTCTGAAATATATTTATATATATATTTAAATGAGCAGTTAACTCCAAGAGGATCAGGTACTGGCCTTCTTGTGTACCGATGATACATATTTATTTTTTAAAGTTCTTTTAAAAAGGTAACATGATGAGCTCACAGTTGCTTTATGACTTTGTAAATAACACAGATGAGTCTGTCCTTTTGTATTAGAAGAAGAATATTTTCAAGAACTTGGGGAAGGTACCATGAACTGCATTCATGGCTTTCTTCTGTTCATCTTCTTAGCGTAGCCAGTTCTTAACCTGGGAAAATAAAAAGATACGATACGCTAGCTGGCCCTGAAAACCTATGGTTCGATGTTAGAGTGTGAAGCGGTCTTCGCGATGGCCCAGAGCCATCCCCTCCGGTCTTTAAGTGAGGCGATAAGCAGACTTCAGGACCTAGTATACTGATAGCTGACCCATGGTCCAGCATAGCCCACATGGGGCAGCTTAGTCTCCCCCAAACTGGGAAGGGGAGCCAGCCCAACTTTTTTTTTTTTTTTTGAGCATTCGGCACTTGTATTTGCATTTAAGAAAAAAGGGTGGTGTTTTGACTAATTTGGCTTGTGGTTTGCTGGTATTCAGCATGGCACTTGGTTTCTCTCTCTCTTGCAGACGATTCAGTGTGGCTCTGAGAATGGTAGGTGACTGGGGAATGGGTATTTGGGGCTTTACATTGAAATTGAAAACACAGTTGGACTTATATGGGGCCCGAATCCAGGCAGTGGGTCATCGGAGGCCAGGCTTAGGGTGAACTATTGCTTTGTTAGCTGAAGCACATGCAGCCTCTCTTAGAGCTCCCAGTGTTTCAGATGGGGGGGGGGGG